TTCAAGGAGTTTTCCAGGAGGGCCCTGGAAAAAAATTTCAAAACTCCAGGAGTTTTCCAGGAATTTCAGTAGTAGTGCAAACCCTGGCATAGGCTACTTTGTACAGAGAAGTCGGCTACTTTCTTCTACAAAGAAATAATGTCATAAATAAAAAAGATCATAAAATATGAATTAACTGGTTTTATGCTTTAGTCATGTGAACGCTATATTTCAAGTTTATAGATTTACCGGTAAGCAGAATTTGTCTACGAGCAAAGTTAACGTAATTTAGTTTTCACCATTCGTTCATTGGTTGTAGGAATTGATTGTGTCACCAATAAATCAAACCTTGAATGAAAGCTACATATTTTTGAATGAAAAACACACTCTTTTGTCCTCAATGTTATACTCAGAACACTGAAAATCACATTCTAGGGCTTTGAAATTTCAAAATATTCTGGAGAAGCACGCCCCCAGACACTCGTTGTTTATACAGTTGGATACTCTTTTCAAACTTGCTAGCTACTTCAATTTTTATTGAAACCCCTGCTGATAGTTAGGGGAGGCTGTGCAGATGAGGCATGGCAAAAAGGAATACCCAACATACCAAAACAGCACAATGCTGACCTGTAGTTAATCAAGAATAACTGCACTACATGTTACATTAAATATTTGTACATTTTTTATTTCACCTCTCATGAATATAAATCTTTCCGCCACCCAGTTCTATAATCTATGGCAGACAGACACTAAGAGTGGTCACTAACAGAGATTGTAACATATCCTTAGTCGCTCTTTCATGTCCCACAAGAGTCAGATTGAGACAGGGCTGAACATTTTTCATCCCTGACCAAGAAGATTAAATAATATATTGATAACATTGAACAATTCCAAGAACATCCCAGAAATTACCTTGCCAACATCTCAAGAGCAACTGTATCACCCAGGTCATGCGCTAAAATATGAACCTTATGTATTCCAAGATACCGCACAAATTCTTCCTGCAATGTGGCTTGTTCCATTACCGTGTAATCTCTGCCACGCTGGATAACATAGAATGCACAACAATAGACTGTGTGAATGTCAATGAAATTGCAAGCGACTGAGATATTATATACATATTCATGAAATATATATATAAAATACCAGGCCCCGGTTGTTCAAACGTTGGATAGTGCTATCCACCGGATAAATCACTATCCAGCGGAGGGAAACTAATACTATCACTATCCACTGGATAGATTTTTATCCTGTGGATAGCGCTATCCAACGTTTGAACAACTGGGGCCAGTTAATGAGATTCATGCTATTCTGTTATGGTAGACATCACGAAGTGTCCCCTAGATCCCTTATCTTCTCTTAAATGCAAGCAATTCTGTCTATATGAGGTCATAATAATAATGATTATTCATTCAAAATATTTCTCCATTTCTGATTGGCTAAAATTCCATGCATAATTCATCATAACCAGCTACTGTCGACAAATTTAGAGGAATTTTGCAATATGTGAACTGCTGACATCAATCGTGCAGCAAAATTGCCAGATTATTGAATGGTTAACCAAGAAGACCTGGGGACAGGGTTGAGTTGTTTTGGTAGTGAATACAAAATGGCGGAACATTTCACTCATTTCATGAGGAAGAAATTGTGTGTTTTCACATGACGTCATGGCGGCCATATTTGTGTCCCAAAACAATGAAAGGGCGGCCATGTTTGTGTCCCAAACCAGTCCTGTGGGAGTTAAACGATTTGTTCCAATAAATTTGCACAGATGCTGGCCACATGAATGAAAACAAAGAATAGGTGAACTGTTGGTTAAAAACATAGCAAGAACAGCAAGAAGACAACTCAATGGAGGACATCTGCTGTTTGGAGAATATTTGCAGAACTAAACAATCCTTTATCTCCTAAACTTGCCAATAAACATGCACTATCGAAGATGAACTTAACATCGATGGGGGTATAAAGCATGTTTTAGCTTGTTTTTAACCTAGGAATTATTTTGAATTAATAATAAAACAGTTATTGAATTCAGCTTTCATATCATCCGAAGAATTACGGAGATCTCGGAGGGTGTTACCCTGTTACACCCTCCTTGATCTCTATAATTCTTCAGACGATACTCAGCCACATTCAATAATAATTATTGCTAATTATGAACATTACGCTGAAATAATTTTGTCTAATATGCCAGAGTGGACAGAAGGTGGAGGTGAGACCAGATAAGTTTATGACCCCTATACGGCATAACACATGGCTATGTTGCAGGTCAAAATTAAATTGGGCAATCTGTAGCTAGGATGTACTAGCTAGCACCCCCCTCCCTCCCCCAAATTTTTTTTTTTTTTTCGATGAGCAGAATTAATATTACAGTTCTTATAAAAATCGGTAATCTGTTATTTGAATTCCCCAAAAAACTTCAGTTGAGCTAGTTTAAGAACATAATTCACTAGCCCATCAGCAATATATCCATATCTAGCCCCAGGCTATCGGACACTACTTTCTTTGCTTGCTGAAATTTAAACCTAGCTTGATTCTCAGTTTCCTTTGTCTCCCAGCCATAATTTTCATGAATTAGGGCTAGGAGACAAAAGAAATTAAGACTCATTATAGGTTAAAAAATTTTAGCCTGAATTTAATTTTGTCCTGAAACAGCAGCTATACCCACCGGTTTATCACTAAACCCTAAGCCCAGCATATCGGCTGCAATGACTCGTCCAAAATTTCTCTTCAGTGGTTCCCAAACCTGGATTAAAATTAAAATTATACACTATACAAAGTTATCATGAAATGGGCTCATTTTCCAGGAATGTACCTATTCCACTATCATGCTTCCAAGAAGTTAACCAGTGACCTAAAAGTGCGATTCAGCATAACTCTTTCAGATATATACAAATATTGAAAAGGCATTAGCTAACTCCTAATTTAAATTCATTTCGTTTCACTAAAATCATTGGTTATGTTACTTCAGCATCCTGCGTCATTGCTGATGTACAAAAATCCTCAGAGACCTAAAATTCGTGGCATTGACTAGCTGATATCTTGTTTCCATAATTTTAACTCTTCAATAATTCCAATTTCAAGCAAAGAGAGCAATAACATATTGCTATATGGCTGGAAATTTCTTCCCAGTAGCGGGCACTCTCATTGGTTATCTCGAGGTCACATGACATCTAACAATGAAACTGTTTCTCACCAAAATTTCTGTGCAGGCAACATTGCAAAATTTATATTGTCAGAGGGTAACAGTGCACTGTTACCCGGAAATGTTGACCGACAACTGCCATATTACAGCAAGATTTAATGAATTCCAGTGACAAAATTTCCACCTGTAAAACAAATCACTACAAGACTGGCCCCTTGGGAAACATTGAGACTCTCGGCAAACAAATTACTGTTTCCCTTGGGACCAGTAATCAATAATCAATATCATGCAACTTATAATTCCAAATGTATTTTTAGAGCAAATAAACAGAAGCATTCTCAAGTAAATCCCTGTCAGGCACAGCTTGGCACGCTCACATGCCTGACGGGAAAGGCAAAGCTTATCCTTTTACTAAATCATATAACTTAAACAAAGATAAGAGGCCTTGATTTTAGTGCTGCCAGTCCTAAAGAAAAGCTGAAATTCAAGTTTTTGTCAAACCCTGACCGATAGAAGTGGTTACTCACTATGTTTGCTAAGTTTGGAAAAGCACACTTTTTTATTTTGGGACTTTTTTGAGAGAGAGAGAAAACGAACTCAACCACAATTACGCAATGATGTATTGGCAGATTTTACCACTTGTTTGCCCCCAGAAATAACACATTACATCACTTTTGTCTCATCAATCCTAAAGTGCTCACAAAGATGGCAGGTATCAAGAACATTATAAGGTCTATTCCAAGCATGTCCCATTCCCCCCCTAGCCCCACCGGCTAGTGCTTCGAAAAGCATCAAATCCCCCACCCAGCTGCAACTATTCAAAAATTTTCCCATGTATCAATTCATTTTATTCATATGTAAAAGGGTCTATCAGTAAGCTTTTATTTACATACAGTCAAAAAATATTGATTAAATATTTAAACGCCAAACAAAATTTTAGACCTGAGAAGGGCATCTGTTGCTACTTGCCTCCATGGCAACACTTTGAAATGAGTCACACTGGAATTCAGCCGTTTGATAATATAGTAAATTGACCACAACGCTTGACGGGAATATGGTAATATCCTCCTTTAAAATTGTTCATTCCACAAAGCCAACATTTAATGGGCTTTTTCAAAGGCTGTCAAATGCTCCAACAAATCAATGAATATAGGAGCAATGACCTTTGAATGCATCTCTTCATGCAGAATGCAGAAAAAATTACAAAATCCTTTTGCTTGCAATGCTGATCAGCATTTTGAAATGAAAGTCAATGCCTGACTGGGCGGGCTTCATTTTGGGTCAAATTCCCTGCTGTACAGAAAAAGACCCCAGTCAAATATCGGGGGGGGGAGGGGCGATTTGGCATTGACTGGTTCATAAAGACAGAGAGGACCGCCCACCTTTGACCAGTCATAGTTACTGGTAGGAAATCCATGAATGCAAAGAACAACGCTTTCTTCATCCTGTTTGTAACCTCTAAAATCTGAAAGCAAATTTATACTCAGCATCAAAAAGCTGGCGACTAAGACATGAGCTGTTGAAGCGTAACCTAAAAGGTCATATCTGCTTTTATTGACTGCTGGTTTGCATGTGATGTCACGGCAGCCATGTTGGTGGTCAAAAACAAAGCCTTTCTCTCCTCTGGGAACTACACTGTATTTTCATGTAAATTCTTCGTGAAGAAATTCTGTTTTATTGACTCCCAACACGGCCGCCTCGTCACGCGGTTGCAAACTAAGAATTGCATGCAATAATATCCATAACAAATTATTCAAACAAAGAAGGTTTTGTGATCGATGTTAGCAAGCTTCTGCAATTGAGGTTCCTAAATACACCTTTTACAAACTGTTATCAACAAAAATGGGGTTGCTAAATCTCTTTGGATTAAAAATTCAAAACTCGTATGCAAATCAATCGATTTCGCGCCAATAAAAGCTTATTCATGAGCTCACCTTGGTAAAATATGGCGTTGCCTCTGTAATTAAAATATTGCCCCATATTTCTCCACTCCTGTAGCCTTTGAGAGAAACGAGGGGCTGGTAAATTAATGAATGTGGCAACTGCGACTACGGTGACAGCACAAAAGATTTGAAAATTAGAAACCGCCATGTTGCATGCATTGGTTTTGGAATGAAGGGAGAAATGTCCCGTCCCCTCCCGTCACAAAATGTTCTTCTTCAACTTAGCAACCGCGTCCTTGACGGAAGGTCAGTAAAATGTCTGCCACAAGCAGGTCTGCGAAGAAACCCCCGAATGTAAGCTTTGTTTTATTGTCGTACCCAGTTTGATCAGCTCTTTATTTTAATTCTACGTTTTTACAGTTTCTTAAATTTTATTTCGAGCAGATTTTGGAGAAGAAAGTTCCTAAAAATCCAAAGTATGAACATGTCGCTGCAACGGTCGACACTGGTACGCGGCTGTAGATTGAATGTCAAATCAGATATAGTTGTGATTTTTGTTCTTACCCAGACTTGGTGCCCGAATTTTAAGTTAATCTTCTTTTTGTGTGATTTTCTTCAGGTGCCAGCGTTTCCAGATATACTCAGAAAATCGAAGAAATGCGAAAAAGTTAGTCACTAATCTTGCCCCATCATTGGTTATCTTGCTGCTGCGGTGCTAATCAAACGACTTCATTGTCTGTCTGTTATCACGTTTGCGTTTAATTCTTAGTTGCCTGGTACCCATCTATAACAGGTGCATAAATGCATCTTTTAACCTCGATGAATTATGTGCCAAAATTTGTTCAGCCAAAAAGAAGTGAATTGTCACAACATGACAGACATGTCTTCGTCCAGGAAAGGAATTGAAATATCCATCTGAGCCCATGAAAGTACCAAATCGGATGATATTGGAACATTAATTTGATTAAGTCCTGTATTTCAGTCATGTGCTGATTCCTTAACCATGCGATCAACAGACTCAGTGTTCCATCTAGAAATTAGTCAGAGTGGGTCATATGTCCCACACAGCATTTGAAATTGGGTCATTTCCAAAATGGTCTGGGTCAAACTATGATAATTATTGAAACTGACATCAGGGTTGTCACTAAGATTTCAAGTTGCCGGATATTTGTTGTTAGTAGCCGGGGAAGTCGCAAGCAGTCATGGAGCCCCTTCCCCCCCCCGCCAAGAAGGTTTTGAAGTGCAGCTTTTACGGTTTTCGAAAAGGCATTACCGCCCCAAAAAAGCAATCTTCATCAAGAGTACAGCTATGATTAGCGGTTTTATGATGATCACGTCTTTATTAAAGAAAACTACAACATTCTGAGACACTAAAATAATAGTTAAATTACTTTACGTGAAGGCTCGTTGGAGGGTTTTTTTAGTGGCCGCCAAATGGGAATATACATGTAAGCACCGGGCCTAAAAAAAAAGGACAGGTTGGCACCGGTCACGTTATCTGCGCAGTCTTATCTTCACGCAGACAAGGCGCATGCTGGCCAGTGAAGTGTTAAATCACAACGATACTTTACAAATGCTAAAAATGTTGAAAGGACAATCGATTCTTATACGGTGCAAATGAATTAACGTGCGCTGTAAAATCAATTGTAAATCCTCATTATTTTAGTTATATGTAAGAACGATACAACTTACGGAAAACAAAAGTGAAACTAATATTGCAAATGAATTAACCCACGCAGAAGCGGAAAGAAGAAAAGCGGACGATGAATGTACGAAAAAGCATCATAAACATAAGGTTACTATGGCTTGTTGAAAAATAAAAGTATGATAGGGCTAAAACAAGCGTAACGTACGAAAAATCGCGGGATGAAATGTGGCAAAACTAAACTGCACAACTGGTGACATTAGTGGTCTCGAATTTATGAACGAAACATCACTTATCATACGAAGAAACTGACCTACGGAAAAGCGTTTAAACGACAGGGCTAATACTTTATAAACGACGCTGAGATGTCAAAACAAGACTCAAGGAGAAGAATGTAAAAGTAATGCAACTTCTTGGAAGTAGAACTAAGAGCATGTGATCATGGCCTGCGGACAATGATCGAATATTTCCCGTTGACCGTGCGTTATTTTATATACTCGATACCTAAAGCTAAATGTAGACATGGTCACTTAAATGTCCACATATTAAACATGGTAATCAGTCATAGTCTTCATCTTCAAATTCTTCATCATAATCCTAATTATCATCAACATCAGCATCAGGGAGATTTAACCCTCGGATGATGCCTCAACTTGTGATGTCAACAGAGATCTGCTCAGGTCTTTCATCGTGAACAAAGGGTGCAGAACCCTTTGCCACTTCTTCGACATGTTCAACATAAACCCTACACAACGGTTGAAACTAGGGACTTTTAGCATCGACAAAGGTGACGGCAGCGAAAACGTCACTTTTAAAAATGAATTGGCGTTTTTTCCAACTTTGTCGCGTTTATTTCAATTCGCTGAAAATAGCTAATGTAGACCAATTTCCCTGGAGTTGATTTCTTTGGGCGCACTCAAGTTTAGAAAGAGAAAGAAAAGTTTGTCGTCGCTTGTTTTACGTCCTCCATAAAACGTGAAACTAGGCATTTTCACGTCATAGTCGTGCAGTAACGGCAAAGAAATGTACAAAAAAGCGTGATGCATGTGCAAACTAGTTGTTTTGCTCAATAAACCAATTGCTTTTTTGACGTTCTCGTTGCCGTCGCCGTCGTCGTTGCTAAAACTCCCTACTGACATTTCGCGAACGGAGAGTTTTAGCGCGTGTGTACTAGTACCAAATCTAAGTCAGATGTCTTTTTCCGACGTTTCTTAGTTTTTGCACGCGAGTATTTCAGAATTACTTAAACCTGCTGCAGATGAAACTCGCATTTAGTTTGATGGATAGTCTTTGTGTGTTTCAAAGGTGTGCCCTTTTGGTTTAATTTAACGACGAAAGCAGCCGGGGACCATGCTCTGAGTAGCCGGGGGAAATCCCCGGCCCCCGGCCCTTAGTGACAACCCTGGACATCATCCAAACTATCACTATATTATAGTTTTTCTGCTTTTCAAGTTTTTGATTCCTTTATAGAAGACAGTCAATTAACATCAACTTGGACAGTGGCACTGCTAGTGGTACAGCTGTTTGAGTTGGCTTTGTTATAACTGCAAAGCCGAAACATTATTTAAAACAATGACTGACTCAACTGCCATTCTCTTTTGTGTAAAAAAAAAATGAACTTAGCTTTTGTTGTCATTTTGTAATAAACCAAAAACGAAAGAACAAAGTTAAGAAACGAAGGTTGAATCTATCAGCAAAGCAATGTAAGTAGAATGTACGCTCCAGGGCCACTCCAGTCTTTTTTGGAATTACATAGAACACCTGACACAAAAACTATTCGTAAGCGCTTAGTCTGAAATGAAAGTCATTTCGTGCCCTCATTTCCGGGCAGTAAGCACACCTATTTTTTGTTAAATTTACCTTTATTATTATTTCTTGCTGCTTTGAAGTACTTATATAAGAGGTAACTTTTTTTGCATCAGTTTGACTCCACGCTAATTTTATTTTGCGCCAGAACAAAGCTTATAAGAGGCACACTACTTTGAACAGGCCTAATTTTATTCAAGGAGTTCTTATTAGACTGGTGGAAATGATAGAAAAGAAACATTAATTAAAACGTAGTATTAATTTTCAGTGATGTCTTGGTGTGGTGCATGGAAGGATTTGATGACCTGTAGACCATTAACAAGCCAGGTTTTAATTTGTTTCAGAATACTTCATAATTTATATTTATTGATATGGGACCTGGTCCTCAAATTTTCTTCTATAAAGTGAGTAGAACAAGGATTGGCAAGACCCAGCTAATGATGAATTGATTAATAATAATACATTTATATTGTGTCATTCAACCTACCAGATTATAAATACAAGAAAGATGAAATCTTCAAGAGAATGAAGGTTACAACATTAGTCCAGTTGGTATGTACATTTTGTCGATTACCTGTAATTTGTTATCAGATAGAAAAAGCTGTTCCAGGTTCCAAGATAGTTATGTGTAGTTGCACAGTAAAAGTGTTGTGAAAAATGCAAGGAGACTGGGGAGAGAGATCACACTTGTCGTATTTTTGCTTTGCTTGTTTTATTTTTGCAACTTCAACACTATCTAAGAGCCTGGCATATGCTGTTTTCAGTCAGACTAAGTTACTGGTTTCTTGGTTACTACATCATTCAAACAAACGAGAAACCTTTCCTCATGGGCTACTTTTAAGCACAAGCATCAGCAGTGTTCTTTACAATCAGATTCTTTGCATCACATCAAACTTACACTCCAGAGTACCGAGGTCCTGATATTATACAGTGGTATGATCTTGCACAGAAGATCTTACTCTAATCAAGTCAAATCATTTTTATTGCGCTGCCCATGAGGGCTATGCCCAATTAAAAAATTAGTCACATCTATGTCAAAAAAAGACAAGATGGCAGATGGGGCTCACAGGAGGCTCTGCATGTCTGATGGGCCCGCTTCAATAAGGCCGATTTTTGTGGGAAGGGGACGGGTCATTTTAGGTCTTCTGGCAGACAAGTTGGAAGTCGTTTTGGAATGAACACAAACTTGTTGCATGGAGTTGTCAGCCCTCTATATTTACACAGAATGATTGTCTAAATACAGTGTTCAGTGATGTATACGTAGTTAGCCTGTGCGGGAGCTGCAGAAACAAGCAGCCCTCCGACAATCCCCATTGGAAAAACTTCAACTTAAGTTGCAGTTTTCTCTCTGCATGTAAAAAGTCTTTCCTTACAAGAAAGGAAATCTTTATGCAAGTAGATCGCTCCATCAAATAGAAACATATATGTGTATTCACTTGCCTTGGATTGTTAGAAGGGCTTTAAATGCAAAATCCGACAGAAATAAAACTGAAACTTAATTTTTCTTTGCAAGTTTTCGGGAACAGAATATTACTGTTAGATGTTCATAACAGTAGAAGTCACTCTGCAGCCCCGGCTCAAGAAATTAATGCACAGTGGGCAACCCAATGAGCCCTCACCATTGGGGTCTTGAAAATTCCATTAAATATTCTCTTGATAATTATTCAAAAAATGCATAACATGGAAAAACAACACTTAAAATGCTATTTTAATGCTATTTTGCATTTATTGGAAACATCGATGATCATGTGGTCTCTGAATTATCTAAAAGGCGTGGTTGAAACGCCAAACTTTTCATGAGCTGAACCTAATTTGAATTAAGGCCAACCAAGATTATTTAGTTCAGATGCCGATCTTAATTCCTGGTGAACCAGATTCAAAAGGAGAGAAATGCTCATTTCCATCAAACTCCTTGCAAAATACGTTATAATAATTGCCCCCACAGGGATTTCACCCAAAAGGTGAAATTCCAAGGAGGCATCCTAGGGCATTAACTGTAGGGAGTTTTACTGACTACAGGCTAAGTTCACTTGAAAGACCAAGTTACCTGCAGGATATCAGGTTCAGACAGTTCAGGCTCTTTATCCTTGGCCGGAAGCTCATCTAGAAGAAGGAACTTCGAACCCAAACCAGGCTTAGAAAAGGTTGGGCTTCGCCAGGCTTTTTTTGCCCATGGTACGCCACATGAAATGACAACCATTTCTCAACCCATACCGGATCGGTCGTCGTCGGGTCAAAAAGGACCCCACCTTCTGTTGCACATCAGGATGGAGGTGAGAAGTATGCGACTGGCGTAACAACTATCAACATACTTGTCAGGTACAATATCACCATTGGCACCTGGAACGTGAGAATTACCTTGCGAATGGCAGGTAAATTGGAAGAATTGTCATATGAGATGAGCAGGTACCACTGGAACATCTTAGGTCTCTGCAAGGTACAGCCGCACAACAGAAAAACTTTGGCAAGACATCCACTGAGGAGGGTCATAAATTATACTTCATTGGCAAGGTGGACAAACACAACCAAGGCATTGGATTTCTTGTTCACAAGGACATTGTGAACACTGTCATGGGCTGCCGGCAGGGGGCGGGGGGGGTACTCCCTTAATGGGGACGTGTGGCCAGCCAGGGTATGTTTTTCTGGATTTTTGTCTTAAACAGGGTATCGAATTTATCAATTTTTGTCTTAAACAGGATATCTTGTCTTGGACGATAAGCAGCAAAATTTTTACAAGCTATAATGTTAATTAATATTGACTTCCATTGACTTAAACAGGGTATCAAAAATCGAAATTCTGTCTTAAACAGGGTAGGAAAATCAGTGATATTTGTCTTAAACAGGGTCAGGGTATGAGGGGCCACGCAGCACCTCCCTACCCAGGGATATATCGAGTACCCCCCCCCCCCTGGTGGCTGCTGTGCAGTCTCAAGCAGGCTTATCACCATCCGCCTGAGGGCAAGTCCATTTAACATCACAATTATACCGGTCTACCCCCCACACTTGGACAGGGTTGTCATTAAGAGCCGGGGGCCGGGGATTTTCCCCGGGTACTAAGAGAGTGGCCCCCGGCTACTTTTATTGGAAAATAGAAGAAAAATAGAACCAAAAGAAATCCCTAGCTGTTTGATTTCCCCGCCTACTTGTTGTGTTTACCCGGCAACTTGAAATCTTAGTGACAACCTTGCTTGGAATATGATGATGATGCAGTTGAGGACTTCTATGACCATCTGCTTGAAGTCTTGGACCAGTCCCCCAAGACAGATAATTATTCTTGTTGTGTTAGGCAATTGGAATGCCAAAGTAGGAGAGGATGCATTCAAGAACTGGACAGGCACTTGTGGATGCTACTGCAACCCAGAGACAAATGAGAGAGGTCTAAGGCTTCTGGAGTTTGCTTGCTACAACGATCTTGTGCTGGTGAATACACTTGGCAAACACTTGGTATCCAGAAGATGGACATGGCAGAGCCCAAATGGAGGATACCATAACCAGCTTGATTATATCATGGTTAGGACTAGGAGGCGCTTCAGGACCAGTGTAAACACCACAAAGACAAGAAGCTTCCAAGGAGCTGACATAGGAAGCGACCATGATTTAGTGATGATGTCTTTTTGGCTACATTTAAAGAGATGCTGTGATAAGGGCCTTCAGAAAATCTGCAATAAGATATGGCAGGCAGGAGAGTACCCATACCAATTACCCAGTCTCTTTAACAGTGCAAGAACTACCACATGATCAGCCTAGTATGCCACCCAAGTAAAGTCCTGCTGCAGGTGCTCTTAAATAGGCTGAAGCGTCAGGCAGAATCAATCATCGCAGAAGAACAGGCAGGTTTCCGAGCAGGTCGCAGTACGACACAACAGATCTTCAATTTTAGGATACTGTGCGAGAAGTACCTCCAACATCAACAAGACCTCTATCACACCTTCATTGATTTTAAAAAGTTGTTTTACAGGGTATGGCATAAAGCCCTTCGGTCTACTATGAGGCTTTATAAAATTAATGCCAACCTGATCGAAGTCATTGAAAACCTCTACAAAAAGGCCACTACTGTAATCCACCTTAAAGGTGGCATAGGAGACTAGTTCAGAACCACAGTCGGAGTCAGACAAGGGTGTTTTACTCTCACCGACCCTTTTCAATATCTTTCTGGAGAGAATTATGACTGACGCACTAGAAGATCACCAAGGAACAGTCAGCATTGGTCATTTGGAGGCAGAACAATTACCAACTTACCTTTTTGCTGATTACATTGGTGGCAGGAAAAGAGGAGGAACTAGCCTTCCTGGGGATCGCCTGGATAAGACTTCTGCAGCCTTTGGCGTGGAAATTAGTGCAGAGAAGACCAAACTGATGACCAATAACGCAAATGGTATCAGCATAGACATCAAAATCAACAGTGAAAAATTGGATGAGGTTGGAAGCTTCAAGTATCTGGGTGCAGTTGTCACAGATCAGGAATCCAAACCTGAAGTACTGTCCAGAATTGCACAGACAAAAGCAGCACTAGCGAGACTGAAGACCATCTGAAACAAAAAGTATATCTCTCTAAGCTCAAAGATCAGACTAATGCACTTGCTGGCTATCTCAGTACTGTTGTATGCCTGCGAAACCTGGACATTGACAGCAGAGTATCCTGAAGAAATTGCAGGCCACTGAGATGAGATGCTTTAGGAAATTGCTTGGCATGTCATACAGAGACCACATCACCAATGATGCAGTCAGAGACAGAATCAGGCAAGCCATTGGGCACTATGATATATCTTAACCACAGTAAAGAAACCCAAGTTAAGGTGGTTTGGGTATGTATCAAGATCAGCGGGGCTTGTCAAGACAATTTTACAAGGAACAGTGCAAGGAGGGAGAAGAAGGGGCCCACAAAAGAAGCGTTGGGAGAATTATCTCTCTGAGTGGGCAGGGTTGAAGTTTTGCAACACCCCAAGAGAAGCTGAAAACAAAATCAAATGGAGCGAAAGGGTTGCTATGTCCGTGGCACCCCAACGGTCACCATGACTACGGGATAGGTATCAAGGTGCAATTGATGCCGAAATTTTTCATGAACTTAATTCAGTGTATTAGGTTCAGCTCATGAAAAGTTCAGCGTCTGAACCGGGCCTAAAAGAAATTGTGAAACTTTCAACAATGGTAACTATTCTATTGATTTTTAGCTTTGGCAATTTATCATTGATAATTTATTAATATTTGTGCATCCTGTCAGGAGGCTGGCTCGTATGAAATTATGGATGGGTAGAGCACCGATAACTCGAACTCAGGTTAACTTGAACTCTCCACTAACTCAAACTGAGACCCATTTCCCTTGGATTTCACCCCATTTTTCAGTCCTTTTTACTCGGTTAACTGGAACTGAGATAACTCGAATTCCTCACTAACTCGAACAATCCCAAAAGTAAGAGCTCCAAAACACTGCTGTATGAAAACCGCCATAAGACAGTATCTGAAAACAACATTAAATGCAGAGGTGTGTGACAATGTTTTGCAAATTGGCCATATTTTGGGGCGGGGTTTGGTTAGGGTTTCACCATAAGAGCCCCAAACTGTTGCTCTCACTTACAATAAGCATCACATGGCCACAGGGGTTTCAATAAGCACCGACCACCACTGAAACGCTTTGGCTACATTGCTCAGAGAAGTCAGCTACATTTTCCTCCGAAGCAGCTAGTTTGAATAATGTCATGGACAAAAATAGAATTTGTTCACGCGGAAATGTATGTAACTTTGCATAATTATCATTTGTTCATTGCTTGCAGAAGTTATCTGTGTGGCTAGTAAATAAAAATTTGACTAAAACCCAAATCTTCTTGAATGGAAACCTTCCTCAGTTTAGTCCCCAAAACACTGGAAATCGCTTATTAGGGCTTTGCAATTTTACTATTTTCTGAGGGAGCATGCCCCCAGACACCCCTTGAAAACTTGGACTGTTGATACAATCGGTTACTCTATTCAAATCTGCTGGCTACTTCAATTTTTATTGAAACCTTTGAGGCCAGCTGAAAATGATGATTTGGAGGCGTGTGACAAGATTTTGAAAATTGGCCATCTTTTGGGTTGGTAATGGAGTTAAGTAAGAATTTCACTGTGAGATCTCCAAAATGTCACTCTGATGATAAGCACCATAAGACTACCTGAAATCGATGATTCAGAGGAGTGAGACAGTATTTGGAAATTGGCAATCATATGGGTTATTTCCTTTCCCCTAATCAAAATTTCACTGAAATTTACCACTATAACTAAAATTCTGATTCTTGTAACTCTACCTGGATGCCATTGCTCTTCTTTCTGTACAACAGGTAAAAACTAACGCTTCAGTAATTAATAGGTTTTAATGGGTGCAATGAAAAGATCATGTTTTATCATAAAAATGCATCAATCATGTTAACGTTGCTGTTTCTTGATGAATAAGTTCATTGTCCTATATAATGAAGTGCTGAAAAATCAGTAACTATATGACAGTGTGTATCAAATGAATATTGTTTAAGGTGGCAAATATTTGAATATTCAATCAATCCCAATGACTCAAACCCCCGCTAACGCTAATTTGAACTGTTTTTCATTTCCCGTCAGAGTTTGAGTTACTAGGGTTCTACTGTGTTTTGGTTGTGTTTGGAAATAGAGTCTCCTATAACCCTTTTGCAAAAAATCTACATCATTTTAATCTCACATGTTTATCATGTTCTTTCATAAATCATGAAGCATGTAGTGTCAGAAAGTCTCATGATCAGTCAATCCTTAAGCTTGTGGATCATACAAAATAGAAAAAAAGATATTAGACTGCTAAATACTGCGGTGTATTTATCATTGTTTTTACAAAACAACAACAAATTGTTTACTTTCATTTTTGTTAAAGATCCTTCAAGTTGCTGAAGCTGTTAGTTTGGAGCAAGAAAGAATTAGCATGTCAACAGCTGGAGGTTTGTTAATTCTCAAAAAAAACCTCATTTTTCAGTTCTCCATACATAACTTACACCTAAGTTATAACTCATTCAGTCAATAAGTAAAGTATCAGAGTGGATGCACTACTCTCCCCAAATGAGGATTTAACAATGTCTGATAATTTTGTATTTTCCTGAAAGGTAAACTGTAGATATTTATGGGTACTATTCACTCTAAATGTTGACTAGTGTTATTCATTACAGGTAAAGACAAGAATATGAAAATTTCTTTAAAAAATTGCTTTTAATAGGTGAAAGTGTAATGTCAGATGAGACCATCACTACTGCTGAAGATAAAGACGCAGCAGCAGAAGCTGAGGGAGTACCGCCCCTGAATCTGGAGGACAATGAGGCACGGCCAGACTCTACAGCAAGAAATACTGCAAGATCCACTCTTGAAAGGTAATTTGATGCTGATTTGAAATACGATTAGTCACCAGGTCAGCTGTTTCCTGATCTTTTGACACTCTTTAATTTGATTACAGCCAGTTTGAATGTATATAGGTGCAACCTCATCATATTTTCATGGCATTAATTGTCACATTTAAGGCTGTTCAGTTTCTGCATACTGTGTGAAAAGTCCTTGAATTCTGTTAGCTTACGGTCCTTGAAATGCAGGTAGGATTTCTTTATTAGGTCTTTGAAACTCTTTGAAATTCACTACTTTGTTTACAGCAGATAGATTGGACTGTAAAATTAGATTCTTTTGCTGAGGAAAAACTTGGCTCATCTTTGGTGTAAGATTAAGAATCTTTAAAACTCACAGGTAACTTAACAAAGAACTCAACACAATAGAAAAAAATTTTAACAAAGTTGAACAAAAAAAAACAGGAAGCAACAATATTTTATTTCTGTTTCTTTATTTCAAATGCTTTGTCTGTACCTCAGACTGCAAGTCATACCAATGTGATTGTCATCATGTTGTAAAGCATTGTAACGGAAATTGTGAACTGATTGTAACCATGGCTGAAGAAGTAAAAATTGTAAATGACTCTAATGAGTGTTTTACCCAGAAAGTTGTCATCAAAAGGGGGTCAAAGAATGCCAATTTATTGAATAAACCTTAGACCTTGGAAACTTTTATTTGTCCTAGAAAAGTCCTTGAAAAGTGCTTGAATTTTGTTTGCCTGAAGTTGTACAAACCATGGATTTTCTCCATTTAAACAACAAAGAAAATGTGATGTATGAGGTGATCAGAAAGTGTCATCTATTTTTTGTTTTATTTTGTGCAATCAATATGCAATCAAATTTTTCTGCCATTGATTTTTTCTTTGAAATCTAATTATCTGCTAAGGCCCAAGAACTCTCGCTACTTAATTTAAGGAGCCAGTTCGCATATGAAGAAAATTAAGAATGAATTAAAATAAATCCATGGGAAGAGCATGCACATCCTTAAGGAAATATGTTATCTTTCTTTAGTCTAATACATGGAGTAGGAGAAGTTGACATCAGAGATAAGGATGAAAAAGACAGTAGAGATATTCGTCCTGATGGAGAACAGCCACTGGTGCCAGAGGTGGAGTCACTTCCATATTTACTACTGGATGTCAGAGATGAAGATGCGTACAAGCAATGTCATATTATAGGGGGTGAGTTTTACCATATCATTTGATTTGGTGATAAGTTTTTTTTCCCACCACAAGGCTGTGCCTTAAAAACTATTTGTAGGCAGCAGGGTAATAATAGGAGTTGTCCAATGAGGGTCCTTTTTCAAGAAAGAGGGCCCAAGGTGTGTGACATTTTTTATGGCTTAGTTTGAAATAGATTTGTCTTCTAAATAGCCTACTTCCTTTCTTTATTTTATTATTTTTTTTTATCGTTCAGTCAGCCTGAATTTTCAATTCATTGCTGTCATTTTTGTAAGTTCTAGAATACAGTGTATCTGCAACTGAACTGTGAACTGAGATCTAGAACCTTGTGAAGCTCAGGTTTAGGACTTGCAGGAATAAACTGGGAAAAAATGCCAAAACAGAAAAAACATGTCATAAAATTTAAAGAAAAAGGAATAAAGAAATAACAAGCAAAAAACCAATGGACTTAAACTCGAAGGCCCTTGCTTGGCAGTAAGAGTCTTTGCCACTAAGTTATGACGTACCTTTTTGCTGATCCTTTAGGTAACTGCACTATTATTTTCAACAGAAGTATCAATTTGGTGAAGATGCAAGATTATTATGATACTTTAACGTATAACCTGTGTTTTCTTTGTCAACAGCACTCAGTTATCCTTCTGCAATGTTATCAAGGTCCTACAACTATTTCAACAAGGAAATTCTTACATTTGTATCCTTTTTACAGTATTAATAATGATCATTACTTTGTACAAATAATAATAACAATGGAACCTTAATTTAACGAAACCCTATGTAATGGTTTTCTTCAGCCCGGCCAAAATCACCATAAAATGTATGGAGTAGAACTTCAATATAACAAACCTCGATTCTAACGAAATCCTTGTTATAACAAACACAATCCAGAAGCACAAACACAAAATATACCTTAATATAATGAATGATTGTCAACGTGTGATGAAGATGAATGCAAAACAGATCAACGAGGATAAAATTTATGCGTACAGTAATTTAAAGCAGTGTTATTTACCTGTTCTTGAGTTTCTAGTGCCATAGCTATGTTTAGATCTTTACTAAGACAATAGCTTTGTATGGTAGACAATAAGTAAAGAAAAAATGTTTATTGCAGTAATTGGAAGTAATAATTGTTCGGATCTATAGAAGCTCGGCATTGAAAATCAATAAAGTATACTGCAATATAACAAACATTTTGGTTGTTCTCCTGAAAATTTGTCAAATTGAGGTTTTTGATATAAGGAACACTCTATATAACAAACAAATTTCCCCAGCTCATTGGCACTTTATTATAGTGTTCCACTGTACTTGTCAACTCTGCTCTTTTTTCAACTCCAGGTGAAAGGCAGCACACCAAAGTGACATGTTATTAGGGCTTATATCAAGTACGACAGTCATTCCTTTAAGCCCATAATCATTTCATGTAGAGGAAACAGCTCAGAAGTACACAGAAAACTTATCCCATCATGCATACACAGTGAACCTGTGCTTTCTGCTTCAGCTTGAAAAAATATCTTGACAAGACAACTTTCAATGAGTGAGTTTATTCGGCATCCTAAAGGTTCAACTTCAAAGTTACAATGCACTATGAATAATAATTTCTGTGGGAACTATAAAGCTAATTATTTTATGAACAGAGAATATTCTGTATGTGGAATAACAATCATTGGCATGCTAATTGAATTGATGTTATATTGTTTTGCAACAGAGCCCAAAGTAGCAGCTGATCTTCAAGATTGTCTACAGCCATTATATGATCTTGTCTATTTTGATATTTATCGTGATAGCCAATCAATCTAAGGAAGGTTTTTAATATGCCAAAACTCATTTAGTAATTCCTCAACATTAATGTCTATAAATAAGACAAAACGATAAAAGCAGTGTAAGAAAAAAACATAAGATTAGTATTAGCACAAATACATTGTGTGTTGTTCCCTTACCCTTCAACAAATTTGGCATTTTAAGTACCTGCACCTCCTTCTCTGAATTCCTAGTGATGATGTTTGATAGAGTGGATTGGATTCTTTCCTGAATATGCCAACAACAGGTTAAGGAGATTGAATAGAAACAAACACTTATTATTAGGACATAATTTTTTTATGTATGCTTTTTCTTAACATTTTCCCACAATGAACAGAAAAATAAATTAGGAAAGATAATAATTTTATATGATGAAGATGAAAGGATAGCACCAGCAGCAGCGACAACATTTGTTCAGAGAGAGGTTGACAATGTCTTTATGTTGTCTGGAGGTACGTTGAGCAACCTTGGAAATATTTATACATGTATGCTGAGAATACCCGAAATGTCAATGTCAGTCAAGTAGGTTCTCAAAAGCGCAGACGTGAGCACAAGTAGGGCAGTGTGGGAACCCATCATCCAAGTGGGCTGATGCAATAGGTCTTTTGTACATTAGTTGATCTAGTGATCAACTTTCAGTAAACACGAAAATAGTTCATTTTTGAAACATGTTATTAGCACGAGCTGAAAGAGCATATTAAAATTACGTAAACTGTAAATCTCAAAAGTAGCGATTGCAATGGCCAATAAAAATTACAAGGAACGCTTTTTGCCACCCAGTCGCGCTTGAATGGTTTTCCATACAAATCCTTGCAAATTTGAAATTTTCAAACTGTTATGAAATATTTCCTTAAGCATTTCAGGGCTCAGTTTCCTTTTAATTTATGACAGGCAATTTGAGCCCTAAAATGCGTAAGGGAAAGAAAATTTCAGAATTTACAAGGATTTGTATGGAAAACCACGCAAGCGTGACTGGGTGGCAAGAGTTGTTTTCTCATACAAATCCTTCCAATTTTCGGCAGACATTGCAATCAGTACTTTTGAGATATGGCTGAAAGTTTACAGGTCACCTAATTTTAATATGCTCTTTCAGCTCATGCTAACAAAATTTTTCAAAAGTGAACTGTTTTTGTATTTACCGAAAGTTGGCCACGTGATCAACTATTGGAACAATGTCAGTAATTAATAAGTTATTTTTTACATAGAATTATCAATGATCTATTTTTTTGTTTTGTTTTTGTTCTTTTTAACTGCAATGAAAGTACACCAATGTATTCCCAGTATTGTTTTCAGTTATTGCTGTCCATTAATTCCATCCATTGACTCATGTTCAACAAGCATTTTTAGAAAACCTCGACAGTAAGGTGTTACAATACTTATCAATTTTAAATTTTTTGATTAGTGTCTGTTTTAAGATGGACCTGCTCTTTCCCTGTCAGAAAACATTTCGTTCAGTATTGGAAATACGGCAGGTTTTCATGAGCTGCATTGGGTTTTTGTATTTACCATTTATTTACTATTTAAACGGAAGACACTGGAATTTGCTACTATTTTCACTCGACTTTTTCTTGGTCCAGGAAATTACCCTTAAATTTTACAGCAAATGAGTACAATCTAAAAGCTTTCCACAGATTTTCTCTGTCAAAGCCCCCCACCGTGGTTATGACCAAAATACTTAATGTAAGATTATATTTGACAGGTCTTAAAGTACTGAACAAAAGGTTTCCAGAAGGTCTATTAACAGGCACAGTACCACAGTCCTGCTGGCCCACACCTCCCCCATCACGGAAGTCTTATGGAAAAACCAGCAGTGCAAGACAACCAAAGTCCCCACCCACCCCTGCGGACCAGAAGTGGTTTTACTCTGAGGGTATCTTTTATAATCGTGATACATGTGATTTGCTATTTTAAAAAGGGGAGAAAATGTAGTTTTGGACATTTATAGGAAGATTTCTGTTGTCACAAACAGTAATTTGTTTTATCTTATAGTATGACATACATGCAGAGCTCTTGTTTAAGGCATAACAGTATTGGTTAGTGCTAAGTTACCGTTCGCTTTGGTTACATAATTCTTGAGAAAACTTTGTGTAAAATTTTGCTTAAGCCTGGGTCTATGTCATCTGCCGGCCAGGATTTAGGCCCTTTTTTATTAAGTAAAGAAACCTGTTCATCGTAAAGAATGGTTGAAGTGTCTTTGTAACTATACTATTAAAGCTATGTGTAGTTTTTGGAATTTTTCCTTGGCTTTTTTTTTCAGTTAAGAACAATGGTTGTTTTGCGTATTTTTCCTTAATAACATTCAGATCTGGCGAAGCTTGGGGACCAGCTGGATGAGGAACTTTTATACCAGGACAAGTCAAGTAAGTTTTTCATTTCTGGTAACCTATTAACAAGACATCTTTCGATTTCACTTCACTGTAAATCAGAAAGATCTGTTTTAGCCCTAAGAATAGCTCCGTTTTAGTGAGTAAAATACAGCCCTATTTCTTGGGTCTAACGTGGCTCCCTAAATTAGGGCCAATCAGGGCTCTGTCTAGGATTTATCGTTTGCGGAAGAAGCCCCGAGTGGCCAAAGAGATGCAATCTGGTGCATTTTGAGAAATGTTACAGTGTGTGCACTGCCTTCGTCGCGTCGGGATGATTTTTCCGATATAGTTACTTTTATACTGTAATGATAACTCTTTTTTGGGTGGGGAAGCTGGGTGTTTTTTTTTTAGCGGGGGGGGGAAGCTTCTACCCCTCAAATACCCTAGACAGAGCCCTGTCAATACAGTCCATTTACCTGGGGCTGATGTGCACTCATGGGCTGAATGAGTCCCAGCAAGGGTTGGAATAGGCTTTCTATGGGGCTGCTTTGGCTGCAATTGTGCTCAAATGGCTCCAGGAGGGGCTGAATCAGACTTTGGCATGCAGGGCTGAATTCGCTTTTTGGGGCTGAAACAGATCTTTTTAATTTTCAGTGTTTAAACATTTAGCTCTTTCCCTAGCTGCTTTCCCTAAGAAAGGAGTGCGTATGAAACTATTCTCCTTAGAGTTAAGCTCATAAACAATAGATGAGATTGGGTGTAGGTGCTCTAGTTTATGGTGGTGCCATGCGCATAAGAGACAAACACAAGGTATCCATGGCAACCAGTGAACGGCAACCACCACCGTCACGCTGATCACAAAGGTCAGTGGAAATAAAAAACAAAGGACGCACATACCTAACAGGGAGGAACGGGGAACGGAGATCAGCTCGAGGCAGCTAGACGCAAAACCTGCTTAATTACGCAATGAAACTCAGCAATTTGATCCCGCCTGTAAAGTGATCACCGTTCAACTTGCCTACGCGTTCCCCGCAGAATATGATCTGCTACAATCGAAACCGATGGCCAGCATTGTTTCGAGTTTAACTTCGCCTAAATTACATCTAGTCACATGTTTAGCCGCATCTAGAGTTTTCTTTGACGAATACCCCTTAACAAGTTTTCCTTCGTCGTGCATAAAATAGCTAACAATTATTTGTGTTTGACGGGAGGAGCGGATATTACTAAAATGCGTACAAAACTCGGGTGCCAAATTTCCGTATGGTTTATAAATATGGCGACTCAAGAGGCGCTTTACGACAGAGTAAAACAGTCTTGTCGGTTACGGAGCCGCATCGGCCTTAATTTCGCTTATACAAAGGGGCAATAAGTGCAGATTAAAAAGAAAAAGTTGATAAGCGCATCCATGGTATGGTGGAGCCAGGGGAAAGATGAGAAGAACAAGGACGAGCTGCAAACATTTTTTAAGAGTTTCGGGCTGAAGACTCCCCAAAAATATCGTTTCATCCTTGTTAAGTCTCCAAGTATTCAAAAGCTTGCGCGTCATTTTTTGAACAAATTGTCAGGATTTCCAGTTTACTTGAGAAAATTTTTTCTTGTCGATGAAAACTTTCTATTTAAAAGAAATGAAAACAAAAGTACGTTTACTTCACGTGCATGTTTCCGTATTCCAGGCCGTCAAAGTTCCCGGATGACCAGTCGGTCAGGTGTATCTTCAGCAGCGAGCAGGGCTTCAACTTCTGCCAGCTCAGCAACAAGTCGCAGCAGCAAACCTCACTGGAAATAACTTCCGTCACACTAGCCTAGTGCTTAATAGCCACTCAGGCTTTATTTGCTGCCGGAAGATGGGTTATCGATGTTTGCGTGTGAGTTGTTGACATCACCGATCAAATGAGTCCAGACGTCAACGTCTTTAAAGGGCTGAGTACACCTTCTGGCTTTGGGACTAAGTTGCCACGACACTCAGTTAATCTCGTGCACTGCACTTCTCTCTCCCCGATCCTACAAAAGTTTGTAACCCTAGGTCCTTTTATCACTTATTCTGAGGCCTCTCCTCTTTATCACTTAACTAACGACTTACAGCCCTGTAAAATTTGAGCTTATCGCATCCAAAACATACAAGGGTTTGAGAAGATGAAGCACAAGCAAAATGTTGCCTCACTTGTATAAATTCACTGGGTCGGGCAGGAGGAAAAGTGACCTCTGCCAACCGTCGCAACTGTTTTTGATTTTTATTGATCTTGGACGGCTCGGTCACGGGGCATGTTCTGTAAAGTGTTTGCTGACATACTGTTTACCCCGTTATGTCGTGTGCATGATTTAATAGTAATATCCGCTGATATTTTCATGAGCCTTCACAACTTAACAAACATGGTTGGTGCTAGCGTACCTTTTGAAGTTCTATAACGAAAAAATTACATAGTGGAAAAGTTGAAAAAATAAGCAACCACCAGTTTTTAAGCTTTGTTTCATTTTCTTAACGGTGTTTTCCTACTGGTCATGGGGCGGCTGGTCGCTTGGTAACGCCGGCGCATGCTAAACAGAGACAGTTGCGAGGGTTGGCAGAAGTCTCTTTTCCTCCTGCCTGCCCCAGCGAATTACAAGGGAAAATAGGCTTCTGCTAGTAGGGAAGGAAGGTCTCCTCCACGACCTTAAAGATCCACCATCAAATTACCAAGTAAGGCTAAATTTTTCAAGAGAAAAAAAAACAGTGACGAAGAGCTTTTTAGCTCTCGAAATCCTGCTCGATATGTACCGACTACTTTTAGGACAGATCATCTCAGGAAGAAGCAAAAACAATGTAAAAAATCTCGAAATGGACAGCAGCTTTTTCCCTTTCGTTCCTTAACCATGCAATATGCTGAATTTCCTTGCTAAAAACTAGCCTGTGCCAGGCTCTCAGATGGTAGAGATGTCGCAAAAATAAAGTGAGCCAAGGGGGATAAGACGCGCACATTTTTCGCAGCACTTTATACTGCACGACTGCACTACTATCTTGGAGCCTGGAAAAGGTTAGCTAAAAACTCCCCACTTGTTTGCATGTAATTCTGTAAACAGGCTTTCCATTTGGGGGAATGGGGGCTAAATATCGCGAGGAATTGGAAAAAGGGGAAGTCAGGGGGAGCGGGGTAACCTAGCTGACTTTTTCCCTTTTTCTCCACTAAGGAGCCTGGTACCAGGCTGTGCTTTTAACATAACACGCACGAGTGAAAGAAAACGTTTTATAAATGTGAATATTGGAATTATGTTAATTATATTTTTTTTCGTAGTTAGTTGCTGTAAATAAAGTTTTTCTCGTTTAAGAATGCCTTTTTTGGAACCATGTTAACTTACTCCCGGAAAAATGGATTGTCTAACGACAACAGTTGGGAGTTTGAGGTGTCACGCAACAGCGAATCAGAGCGAATCAACAACTCTGCATGTGATTCACACTTTCTGGTACATTTCTACTAGACAGTTCACGGTCCCCTATCTTTTCGCAAGATCGTCAGGATCTAGCGCTTACCGGTACAGGCGGTCATCTTGGTTTTATATGTTCCGAGCGGCCCGCGTGGGTTTTATGGCGGATCGCGAAAGGGAGCCGAGAAAAATAGACCAACCGTCCCCCGCCCCCTAAGTAGATTTGCCACTCATCCAAGATGGCCACGCTTTCCTACAATTCCTTACACAACTTGGCAACCAGTTTGCACGAGAAAAAAATGGTTGGTAAGGTCACTCTCCCAGCCGGGCTAACTTTTTTCCATTCAAGACTTTCGCTCCCCAGTATGGACGAAAACGTGGCAAGCCTCATATTTCAGAGGAAAACCGCTTACCATTTGTACTTTTTCAAATCCGTGCCGTTTACTCGGGCCCGAACAACTGTTTGAACAGACAAAAAGTTGCACGGATCCGCCTTTCGATTACACGGGACCCGCGGAACCGTGCAATTTTTTTGAGCGGCAAAGTGTGCAGGTTTTTCACCTGATCGAAAGTAGGTTAAAACTTTTGGCTGGTACCGTACCGTTCCACTTTAACGCGGACTCGTGTAAACACCTGAACCAAGTGCAAATAAAAGCCGTTGATAAAAAAGCATTGCAAAAATGTGTATGGACTCGTGTAAACAGTGCTTCTGTAACGGAACTTGCACGGTTCCGTGTAAACGGCTTGCACAGGTAAAAAAAATTGTCCGGAACAGTGTAAACGGGGTCTTAGATTGATGTAATAAATACACATGGGCTTGCGATTTTAAAGATTCAAAATCGATTATTTTTTGCATTTTGAGCGGTGCGGCAATGCCCAACTGTTCGAGCATCATTACGAATTGAAGATTTGTCTGAATGATGATAATTTGGCACCCGCGCGGGCAACTTGTCTCGCAACAATTTTTGTTGTTTTAGGTTTCGTTGCAATGTTTGTCGAACAAACTAGATGGATATATCGCTTTCTGCAACCCAGCTGAAAGAGCGAAATTGTTGCGCGACGAGTTGCTCTTGGGTGTTGTAAAACGAAAGGAAATAAGGAGGAGTGGAAAAAGACGGCGACTGGTGCGTGACCCTTGTAGACAGACTCAGTGTAACTCAGTTATACGTTACTTCAGGGATATTGCATGTTTTCGGTTGTGTTAGTCTAAAGCTATCAGAACGAAATCCTGTATTCGTTTGTTACCGTAAATCCTCTATTAAGCCCCCCCTCTCTAATAAGCCCCCCTTTTCAGAGGAGGAAAGTTAATAAGCCCCCCCTCCCCCAGGCCTTATTCTTCACAAAAAAATTAACGATTAACGTGGACTGATCAGTAATGGTTTATTCAGGCTGGAAGTTCATATTGTTTTTGGTCTTCGGCCGCATGACCTCCAACTTCATATACTTAACTTTCTCAACTTTGCGCTCTAGTTCTCTGTGGAGAATTTCACCATTTTCTTATCGTTAGACAAAGCAGTATACCGCCCGGGAACCACAAGGAGTTTTCCAGAGATTTTCGTTTGTAATTTGTGTACGACAAATCAATATAAGTAACCATTCTCATAAAAATTACCGAAGAACATGAGGCTGAAAGAACGTTTTTGAAGAATAAGAATTTTGTTTTTGTTACTTTTAGGCTCCCATAAGTTTAATTGTACAACGCGTAAGTCTACTCTGTCTCATGCCACGGTATTTTTGCTACAGGTGATGCGTTTCGCTAAATTAAATAACCCCCCTCTCTTTTAAGCCCCCCCTCAAAAGTCCTTGAAAAAAATAAGCCCCCCGGGGGGTTTAATAGAGGATGTACGGTATGTAAACAGTATGTGGTTTAATAACTTTCACATTACAAAAGATAAAATCTCTTGTCACGATGTCCCCTTCTTTATCGACCTTCGGCTTTTTTTTTTTCTTGTTTTGCAAAGGAGAGGTCCCGTTGTTTTTGTTGCAAATGAATCCACCCTAGGAACAAATGGTTTTCCAAGCCAAAGAATAATTAATTAAGCCAGCGAAGGTAATTTCATTTAATATTTTTTCAACATATTTCTGTTTCCTATTGGCTCAATTTCCCCGGCTAATTTTTCATAGTCAGCTATAAAGAGTAAATCAGTGAATTATTTTCCTTGAATAATAAAACAGCAGGAGCCCATAATGATGGGCTCCTGAAAGCAGTTATTGGATTTGGCTATTGTATGGTCTGAAGAATTATTCACTTAGCCTCATCTAAAAATTACTAAATATCTAATAAGTGCAAGGAAAATACTGATTCAAGGTGATAAATTTTCTTGGAATATTTATCAAAAAAAGATAGGATAGTAACTTATGGCTGCTTCAGGAATTCGCTCTTGTCTGCTATACGATGGTCTATATACAATGGCCACTAAAGCCAATCAAAAACTACCTTGCTAGCAGAGTCGGTTCGATTTTTATCTAGGAAGATCGAAGGAGACTCTGTTCGCAGGGTAATCAAAAACAAATTGTATTATAATCCAGTTGGATTTCTATGTTGCCTGTCAAGCCTGCTGTATGGCATAAGCCATAAGGGTCCATAAGTACGTTGATTTCTACAAAATATTACAACAACAAATAACGGGAGAAGTACTTGGTAGAAGCGGATCCCTGTCCGAAGGTGCACGTCCGGGTAAACCACGCGCCATCCTTCGTAGACGACTTTGGAATGATCTGATTGGTGAAATATAATTTGTGTCTATCCACACTCTCTTAAAGAGCATGACTTTGGCTACTCGCCTCCTTTCTCCTCCGATAAGAATGTTGTCTGACACAGCCAACATATGAGAGACTGCACTAAGCTCAAAGAATTGGTTACTGAATCCTCCACAGTCTTCGCTCGGGAAAAATACCCTGCCTATCAGTTCGTCTGGGCTGAAAAGTATGACGAGAGCCAACAGTGCGTCTATTTCTGCATCGCTTAGCAGAAAGTAATTTGTGTAGTCCCTCAGTCTTCTCAAATTAGGACTGTCCAGCTCAATGACCACTGCCACACAGTCTAGGTAATACATCAATCTTGCCGTTGAGTTCTGAGGCACGGTGACTCTTCGGCCGATTTCTCTTACGCCAACCTCTTGTCTTTGTCCGATAAATGCCATGATTGTGTGAGGTTCAAGGTGCAGTCTTGAATGGAAATGAATAGAATATGTGCCTCTATCAGTTGATGATTAACATTGAATATTGGGTAATGTTATCAGAAAAGTCACTCATGGGCTACTTGAAACTACAAAACCAGACGACTGGAGCCCGACTGATTAACAACAAAATCAATGTAATAACGCTTCAAAGTTGTATTTCACTCCAGTAACCAGGCAAGGGGGCACTCCCTTATTTGGCCTAAAC